TGCTAGTTCTATAAACTAAACTTCCATCAGGATATCTCATAATACAAACACTTATAAACTCTCCTGGACGATGTCATACAACTATACTAGTCTACATGGCTATTCCAAATTTAATGACATCTCTTCATGCTGTCATTGTATTCCCTTTCCGCAGGTTAACAGCAGGCACTGTGGATACACTAAACATCCAGCTAGAAATGCTCATGCTTTTAGTATCCCATCTATCTTATGTTCTCCTCCTTCTCTTCAGGTTTGGAACCAGATGACTAAACTTGGAATGAAGGGCGATACTGCTACGTACAACCTGATGCTCCGTGCTGCTCGGGACTGTGGAATAGGCGATCCAGTTTTGGCTTCTCGAGTTCTGCTAGGATCCACTGAGGAGAAGTCATCCCAGCTGAGGCTTGCCCCCGGTGAGCGGAAAGAAAAGGCGAGAAGTCAGAAGAACAAGAAGAAGAAGGGATCAGAGAGTGCGGCTGCTGTCCAGCTGGACGTGGAAGCCATGGAGAAGCAGCTGTTTCCTGATATCTCTGCACAGCCTGAACAACAGATGAAACAGCAAAATAAAGATGTGAATGGGGCTGAAGCAGAGCCAGCACCAGCTGCTCTTGTTAGTGCCAACATAGCTCACGATGGGCCTGGAGCATTGATGAGGACAGACCCAAGCGAGATAGAGCAGGAACAAGCCAGCCCAAGGCCCAGCCTGCCTTTCTGCAAGCTGCCCAACTTACTGGATTCCAAGATGCCTGATGCAGCTGTGGTGTCCTTGGGGACAGTGGCCACACCAGCTGATAGACTGGCTTTGATGGGGGATGTGGAGGGCTTCTTGAATAAAATGAAAGAGGACAGTGCAGAACCCGACATTAAAACTTTTACATTACTAGCTGAGCTGGTGGAAGCCCAGAGCCCGTCGGAGTCCTCTCTGTTGGCAGCCCTTGATGAGCAAAAAGTGAAAGTGGATGTGACCTTCTTTAACACTTTAATAAGGAAGAAAAGTAAACAGGGAGACCTTGAAGGAGCAAAGGTGAGGAAAAATCTCAGAGTGGCCCTATTGCCATCTCCTTCTCTCAGGCCTCCAGCATTACCTGTGTTTCACTATGAGACCCATTTCTCTATCCACAATAAAAATTGCTAATACTGTTTTCCCCAAGCCAGTCCTCAGGTTACTTCTGGAGTATTTATGGATTCTGTTCTAGTACTTCCAGCTCTGCCTGGAAAATTCCAGTGAGATTTTTTTGGAAACTGATGTCAGCACTTGCCTCTTGCAGGACCTGCTGCCGGCCCTAGCGAAGAGGGGAATAGCACCCAACCTCCAGACGTTCTGTAACTTGGCACTCGCTTGTCGCCGAGAGAAGGACGGGCTGCAGCTGCTGTCAGACTTGAAGGTAAAATACCCACTTCAGTGTAATCTGGCAGAGCAAGTGAAGGAGTAAGGTTGTAAAAAAGACCCCGTGAGTTTTCTGTGGTAGCTGATTTATGTTCCTAATATCACGAGTGTGTGACTGAAAGCTCAGCTAGTCTGTCCCGTGCCTGAGCAGGGACAGGGAAGGGGCCGTGGAAATGAGAGGCCAGGCACTGTAGAAACCAGTACATGAATCCCAAGAGCAGGAGCTGTGCTGTGTGAGAGGTGTCTGTGCCCTCTTCACCCTACAGCCCTGCACTAGCTGCAGACCAGCTGAATTGGGGTGTTTGGGGGGTTTTTCAGAGGTCTGGAGTGACTCCCAACAAGTACATCTACAGCACCCTCATCTCTGGTGCTGTGAAGCAGCTGGACTACCATTACCTCACCGAGATCCTGCGGGACATGCGGAGCAACGAAGTGCCCCCCAATGAAGTGATCATAAGCCAGCTGGAATTTGCAGCCCAGTACCCTCCCAATTTTGACAGGGTAGGTGCTCACAGCTGGTCACACTATGGAAGCATCCCTGCTACCAAAATTAGCTGTTGCAGTTCATGCTTGTGTTTCCATTTGCAGTATAAGTCGAAGAGCAGATACTTGGAAAAAATTGATGGTTTCCGTGGCTACTACTATCGGTGGCTAAAAGCAGTGGCAGGAGAGGAGACTCCTCACCCCTGGGAAAAATACAGAACAGCGAAACGGTCTGGAAATGAAAATAAGGAAGAGGATGTGCAGGTGCAGGACCAGCAAGGACAGAAGTTGCAATGAGCAGGATGCTCTGCAGGGTAGCTCAAGTCTTGCAGCTTCCGGAAGAACAATCTGGATTTTCTGCTTACACAGCCTTGTAGTAAAGCAGCTTTGTATTTTCATGTCCTAAATAGTAAATAAAGTATTTCTCCTTTGTGGGAAGGAGAAGCAAGTACATTTTCAGTGATTTTCCTTAAACTACAAAATTAGGTAGGCTGTAGTTTTAACAAATTATGTGCTGAACAAGCCAGCTCAGGCTTACCTGGGCTCTGAGCAGGGGCTCCCTGTTTTGTGTCTTCCTCCTGCTTTACACACACCTGGGCACTGAAGAAGTGAGAATTCTGTAGGAAGGGGTGGCTTTCTTAGCACGGATCAGTGTAATTCCAGGTTGAAAACCTTTCCAGTAGCGTTTTGCTTTCTTCTGCTACCCAGCAGGGATAGGGAGGTTGGGGCAGACTGGGGTTTTCAGACTTCATCTATCTCCTATCTATCCCCCTCTTTAACTTCAGTTATTTTGAGAGAAAAAGCTCTCTCCCTCTACATACACATAGTTTACAAAAAATAGAGCCACCAACCCATGAAAAAAGAAAGCCATCATAATGCAGCACCAGAACAGGGGCCATAGAAACATTTTGCCAGCACCATGCTCCCAGGAAGGCAAAGTTTATTTTAAAATCAAAAGGCTACACAGAAAGTTACTCCAAAATACCAGCCATTGCATACAGATGTATATGATCCAGGTGAATATGAACGATTCGATCACGCAGAAGGTAGTTCTAACTGCACGAGTAGTCCATAGTGTGGGACGAAACCTCTCAGACCTGAAAAAGGAGCCCAGTGTCCGAACCCTTCACCCGGAGCAGCCTCTGCAGCCGCAGTGAGTGCACTCGATGATTCTGCCCTGCAAGGGAAACGCCACGGCGATGTTTAGGCCAAGCTGTGGCCAGTGCCCAGGGCAGCAGCCTGAGCCCCGAGGCAGACAGGCCTTGTGAGTGCAGAGCTGCAGGAAGGCTTTTCTGCACCCTCCTGTTCTGCTATTTTCCATACACACTTCAAATGGCTTCATACCACACCAATAACAGCTGTTTTACAGCTACTAGATGTTCGCTGTACTACAAAACATAAAATATATTAAAACTGGAAGTTCCCAGAAAGCGTTGCCTCCTTTGTTTTCTCTGATCAGGATAAGTTGGAATTGCAGGGTCCAGACAGAAGTAAAGAAAGAAAGACAACAACTCACCACTTCCAACTTGCTTTTGGGCACCCTGCAGATGCAGTTGGTTCCAAAGTTGGTATCTCGCGTCTGGATACACCGCAGGCAGCAGAGATTCTCGTAGCCCTGTTTCTTCCACTTTGCAATCAGGTTTTTGTCAGCGTATCCTTCCTTGATGCAATACTCGTAGAGCTCTGCAGAAAAGCAGGCAGTATCAGCAACAGCTCCCAGTAATTGGTATGAGGATGCCCTGGATGTACCCACTAGCAGTTAAAGCTGGTCAGATGCCACCTTCTCTCCATCTTCCCTCCCCAGAACCTTAATCTTTCCTGTCAACACCAAGGCACAGGGGTGTTCACAGGTAGACATCTCGCTGTGGGACAGTTTCCTCTCCCCAAGATAAAGGCTTCCATTTCTCACCTCTGCTGATGGCTTTTCTTTTATAGAAGAGGTCAAATATGTAACGTGTCTTCTGGTGATGAATTCTGAAGATGGGCCAAAGGGATTCCACCTTCCGCTTCCCCTCGTGAGGCTCAGTCTCCGCTGGAGGGAACACAAAACATCAGAGAGCAACTAACAAGCTCCGGCCACTGGGCTGCAAACTGACTTTTGTTGTCACTTTACGACAAGTGCCAAGACAGTCCATAACTTTAAAACATGATGGATAGAAACAGAAGGAACCTAACCCGATACAGATCCTTTAGGAAACGGAGGCACAAACAGAAGGACAGTGGTGACGACACATCCCAGCGCTGGGGCCAGACGTGACCTCGTGGCTGCCCACGCTCATCAGACCAGAGCGACAGCCTGGACTGGAACTACGGGTCCTCCACGCGCGCCCACAGGGGCTCAGTGTGGAGAGCCCTAAAACTGCTCAGCATCAAATCCCAGCTTGGAACACAGCCAGAAAAGCCCAGCTCTGACCCAAATCCCATCTCCCCACATGCCCTCTGCTGCAGGAGCAGAAGCTACTGCCACTATCGCTCTCAACCCCTCAGCATCCGGGCTGAGGTGTAAAAGGGTTTATTAGCATCTGCAGGATGTGGGAGCGCTTCCCAAAGCGGTCGGGAATTACCCAGCTCCGGGGCTCCATCCCTGGGCACCTCCAGCTTTGCTGCTCACCTTCTCTCATCTTCTGATCCAGCTCATCCAGCGTGGGCTCAATGAGCTCCCAGCCATCCGGGGGAGGCTTCCTGCTTCTCTTCACTTTGGGCATCGCCGCGGGAACCAGGCGGTGGCAAGAGGCAGCGGGAGCCGGGATGTGGCAGCGCTCCGGCCTGCAGGAGAAAAGGAAGAGAGCGGTGCTATTAGGAGCACCTCCCCTGGTACTGCTGTGCCCCTTTATTTCCTTGTTTCGATCTTAAAAAACAACTTTTTAACCACGAAAAGGGCAAAAAATCCCCATTCCCCCTCTCCAGTTGCGGGAACCAGGCGGTGGCAAGAGGCAGCGGGAGCCGGGATGTGGCAGCGCTCCGGCCTGCAGGAGAAAAGGAAGAGAGCGGTGCTATTAGGAGCACCTCCCCTGGTACTGCTGTGCCCCTTTATTTCCTTGTTTCGATCTTAAAAAACAACTTTTTAACCACGAAAAGGGCAAAAAATCCCCATTCCCCCTCTCCAGTTCCCCCTACCCGGGCTACGTCGCCCCAAAAGAGCGACGTCCCCCGGCCAAGTCGCTGCGGCGGAAACCCCAGGAAGGAAGCGCGGCCCGGGGAAGGAAAAGAGGACGGGGAAGGAAAAGAGGACGGGAAGGGGTCGGGATGGGGAAGGGGTCGGAACGGAGGCGCCGCCACCTCGGGGCCTCTCACCGGTCGCCGACACAGGTACCGCTTCCGCCTCCCTGTCGCGACTTATGATGTCACACCGCGGGGCCTTTCCCG